TTTTTGTGGTAAAATTAGGTGCCTCGGCTTATATTCGGGTCGGCCTATACTCGAGTATATACGGTAGTCCTTTCTCTCTTGGATATTATACAAGTCTCTACAGCCCCTCATTTAGTCTCCATATTTCTTGATCTTCAAATCCACAAATCTTTATTGTTGTTGTTGATAGGTATGCCGTCCTGAGTTGTCTTGGTAAGTAGGGCATATAAACCAATTAATTAATTACATACGTACATACATACATACATACATACCATGATAGATAGCTGTTTTTAAAACATACTTCTGGCTAGCATTAGCAGTTTAGTCCAGTGTTCTGGTTTATGTGTTGCTAACACATTTATTTCAATGAAATGTGATGGTGATAGTGGTGATAATGAGGCACTCCTTTTAAGATTTACGTATTTATAAAATCAACTCCATCTTTATTTCATCTTCTCCCTCAAGCATCAGCACCTATAATTTAGATTTTTATGGAATCTGGGACCGGTTATAGTGCTATTCCCATGCAATAGACAATCCCTTAGCAGATCTCTATTGTAAAGTAGTTTAAGCCCATTATTTTTCTCATGACTAGAAAATATGTGGCTCACCAGATATGAATGAACTGCAGCTCTAGGCTCTGTCCAACATCAATCACACTTTTCCTGTTTGAAGTATTAGACAAGAATCCTAGAAGCTTAACCAATGGCAATCGAAAGGTTTTTTTAATGAGGGATTAGTTGTATCTAAATATCTATAGTCCAAAAATTGTACCAAACTACTTCTGAGATGGGTTTTTGTGAAATACACACTTTAATTTTAACCATTGCTGTGTAATGTGGTTTGACAGTGCTCCTAGACAGGAACCAGACATCTTTGGATGCAGTTTTCCAGGTAACTTTTCCCATCATTAGCTGGCAACCTATGTTTGTAACAATATTCTTTTTTCTTCTCCTAGTACAGTTTGGTCAGTAATCAAAAGTGTGCTGCAAAAGGACGGCCCCCTTGGCTTCTATCGTGGTTGGTTCAGCACTTTGCTACGTGAAATTCCAGGCTACTTTTTATTCTTTGGAGTCTATGAACTGAGCCGGACCTTTTTGGCCTTTGGAAAACCAAAAGAGGAATTAGGTATATCTGAGCTTGCTAATGATATGTCTTCTTGCCTCGAGATAAACACAGCTTCTTTTAGTCCCACCTGTGCTGACTTTTAAGCCCAAAGGATTTCTGTATAACAATAAAAATATCTTGCTGCCTGTTCAAAACCTTCTGATATAAAACACAGTAGCTTTAAAGTATTTATTTATTTATTGTATGGCATATCACAGTGTTTCTCAACCTTGTCAACTTGAAGGTGTCTGGATTTCAACTCCCAGAATTCCACAGCCAGCATTTGCTGGCTGTGGAATTCTGGGAGTTGAAGTCCAGACACCTTCAAGTTGACAAGGTTGAGAAACACTGGCATATCATACATAGACTAGCAGCCTTAAATATTTTATTTGATTTATTTATTTATCATTAAATTTAGATTGCCGCCTATTCGCCCATGGCGACTCAAGGAGGCTTACAGAATATGAAAACCACATTTAAAAACAATAAAACTATTTAAAAATCAAATAAATTAATATGGTAATAAAATCATAATAAAATCACTCCCCACCCTTCCATCCCGGCAGCAGCAGATCACAGGAGCCATTTAATGGGCTCCATCCCTCTCTGCGTTCGCCAGGCCCACTGGCAGAACCAGGTCTTCAGGGCCTTCTGGAAGAGTATTAGAGCGGGGACCATTCTAATCTCTGGGGGAATGAAGTTCCAGAGAAAGGGAGCTACCACGAAGAAGGTATATCTCCCTTAGGGATGGGACCCTCAGCATTCCTTGACTCCCCGCTATGATGACTTGGGTAGATATGACCAGCAAGAGATGGTCCCTCATATAACCTGGTCCCAAGCCATGAAGGGCTTTAAAGTTGACAACCAGCACTTTGAATTGCACCTGGAAGCAAATTGGCAGCTAATGCAGCTCCTGCAGGAGAGGTGATACATGTGCACACCGGGGTCTGCATTTTGCACCAACTGGAGTTTCCCGATGCTCTTCAAGGGCAGCCCCATGTAGAGCGTGTTGCAATAGTCAAGACAGGAAGTGACTAGGACATGAGGGACTATGAGTAGGGATTGTTGTTGATCCAGGAAAGAGCATAACTGACGCAAAACCCCCAGTTGCGTAAAGACCCTCCTAGCCATGACTGCCATCTGCTCTTTGAGCAGGAGTCATGAGTCCAAGAGAATCCCCAGATTATGCACAGGTCTGTTTGGGGTAGTGCCACTCTATACAAGACTAAAACAAGTCTCCCTGAGCCAACAAACCCAAACCCAGAGCCATGATCTTGCCAGGGTTTAGTTTCAACCCGTTGCTCCCCCATCCAGCCCCTAACAGCCTCTAGGCACTGCGAGAGGGAAGAAACAACATCACTTAACTCGCCACGGGCCAAGACATACAGCTGAGTATCATCAGCATATTGGTGATACCTCAGCCCTTGGTGATGGATGATGTCCCCTAGTGGCTTCATATCAATGTTGAACAGGAGTGAAGAGAGTACTGAGCCCTGCGCAACCCCCAAAGCAGTGGGCGAGGGCTGGATCTCTTCCCTCCTATCAACACTGAGAGGAAGGAAATGAACCAGGATAGCATAAGTCCCATCCCCTGAGTTTGCTCCAGGAGAATACCATGGTTGATGGTATCGAAAGCAGCCAAGGGATGAAGTAGAGCAAGGATGCACTACCCCCATTCTGCTCCCACCAGAGATCATCCAAAAGTGCGACCAATGCTGTTTCTGTTCCAAATACAGGCCTGAATCTTGACTGGTAGGGGTCGAGATAATCTATTTCATCCAGAAACCTCTGGAGCTGCCTCTGGAGCAACCACCTTCTCAACAACCTTCCCCAGAAAGGGAAGATTGGAGACAGTTCGGAAATTATCCAACTGGGTGTAGTTCAGCGATGGCTTCTTAAGAAGACAGACCACAGCCTCCTTAAAGTGCTGGGGCATTGCGCCCTTCTGTAGGGAAATATTAATCACTGCCAGTCTACCCACCTATCACCTCCTGGGAAGCTTTCATAACCAGGACGGACATGTGTCTAAAACAAGGTGCTTGCATGCATACTCCCTAGGATCCTGTCCACTTCCTTGGGAACAACAGTTCTCAGATAACACGGCAAAAACCGGCCTCAGAGGCTTCCACTGGACCAGCAACCATGCCGGCATCTAACTGGGAATGAAGTCAAGTGATTTTGTCTTCCAGAAAAATGCAAATTCCTCAGCGTGCCCCTTCAGGTGGACCGCAATCACCTCCTTCCCCAGGAAGTGGCTCACCTTAAAGAGGGTCGCTGGGTGATTATCTGCAGATGCAATTAGTTTGGAGACGTATTTACATTTCCCGCACGAAGTGCCACGAGGTAGGCCTTAATAGCAGCTCTTACCCGTGTTCAATCGAGTTCATCCCTTGTCTTCCACTAGCGGCGCTCCAGATGTCCCCTCATGCGTTTCATCCCTCTTTTCTTTCTCCGTATACCACGGGGTACAGAGAGATCGACGGTTGAAGAGAGGTTGCATGGATGCAATCCTATCCACAGCCTTAATCACCTTCCTATTACTAACAGTGACTAAGAGTTCGGCAGAGGTGGCTTGCTGCTCGTTCAGCTGAACCGGTAGTGGCCTGGAGCAGCTGAGAGCGAACCAGTATGGTGGCCGCGCTCTATATGTTTTTATGACAAAAGGCAAATTACACACGTGCACACAGCATGTAGCACCTGCGTGAGCCCCAACAATCAGCTGGTTGTCACAGGGGTGGTGGATTGTGCACCCTTGTGCAGTGTAAGTCAGGTGCATGTGCGAACGGAACATATGCGCAATCAGTAAACAAGTAGTGAAGGTAAGTGCAACCCACCACTGGAGCTTGGCTGGACTGCACAACAGATCTGCAATTATAACCTCCACCTCCTTCTGGAACTCATCTGAGTTCATTAGTCAATGGTGACGGACCAATCTAATAGGTCCTGCCTCTAATAGGTCCCTGCAGGGAGTGGGTGGTGGTGGTACAGCTCTTGAGAAACTCAGATTAAAGATTACTGCTGATTAAAGAAAAAAAAAAACCCAATCCAATTAGGTGGAGAAGAACCAGTGCCCATTCCTTCCTTCAGTTCTTGATCTGCACAAGGAAGAGGGGAAAAAAACCTTAACAGCAGCCAAGTCAGAGATTTAGCAGAGAATTGGACAATTCAATAGCCAACACACACAAATAACATATTTCAAGTGATTCTCATAACTCACCAATATACTGAAGCTTAAAACAAACATACTTATCTGCTTTAGTAGGATATGGCAGCTATCTTTTTTTTATGAAATTGCGGGCTGGGGGGAAAAACACTTGGGCTTTTTGCTATCATTAAGCTCCTTCTGCTTGTTTTTATAGGTCCAGTTGCATTGATGTTCAGTGGTGGCTTTGGTGGCATGTGTCTCTGGATTGCTGTTTACCCAGTGGACTGCATCAAATCTAGGATCCAAGTTCTTTCCATGGCAGGAAAACAAACTGGCTTTATGAGAACGTTTGCAAGTGTTGTCAAGAATGAAGGTTAGAATATGGAAGAGACTAATGGAGCCATGGGTGAGGGTATCTCTTAACTTCGGCAAAGCCACAGCTGAGGAATCAGCTATCCCCTGTGGAATTGTTTTTATGGCTGCAGGCAGCCTGGGAGAGGGAGGAACAAAATAAACCCTGGTGTTTTCCAGAAAGCACTTATTTGGTTTTCACAGGTGATGGTCAAATTTGCCTTTGGCAGGATTAGGTAGCTTGTCTCTTCAAAATAACATGTTCCTGGACTACATATTTAGCTGAAAAGAACCAACTAATTGTCATTTTATATCCGTTGACACTGCTAGTCATTTTCTTTGCAATGACAGGAAATTGCAGGACCAGATTAGGATAGATTATCAGAATGATCAGATAACCATTACATTTAATTTTAGGAATGATGGTTGAACACAACCCGAAAAAAAGAACAGCTTTTCAAGGCTAAGGTTGCAAAAGACTAGAAAGATAGGATTTAAAATGTTATTTATTACTACATAAACCTGAAATGGTTCTTAGGAGGTAAATGTAACTTAGTCATAGACTGTTGCAGGACAGTTTGCCTTTATTTGCTTATGAATGCATATATAGTCAGGGAAATAGGAAGTTGATTTCTCTTATTTTAAGTTTGAGCCGCCTTGCCTCGGTCTGGTCCACACATCATGCTAAGTTATGGTTTGTTGAATAAAGCATAGTTGGCTGGGTTTACAGCAGAGACTAAATCACAGTAATCCACATTTTAATTTGGTATAATATGTAAACCAGTTCTTCTCTCTCTGTCATCTCATGTTCATAGAATGGTTAGATAGTCTTTAGGATTAATCTTTGGTAAGAAAGTTAGGTTGCATAACCTGTGAATCCGTGATGAATTTAACCACTCTAAGATTTATTTAACCTATGACAATGGTTCTCAACCTGTGATCCGCTATAACAGGGGCTCCACAAGGGCTTGAAGAACTGTTATGATTTAAATCTTAAATCTTGGGGTGTCCATGGCCGTGATCCATGGCCACAAAAGGTGAAGAAAAGGTTGAGAACCACAGACCCATGATAGTCGTGATCCAGATAAAAATTTAGATTTATTTCTCCAAATCAACCACAGGATAGATTTATATATTGTTTTATTATTACTATAATCCAGTCATTTCAGTCTTACAATTTCATCTTTTATTTTTTGAATAGATTATATTGCTTAATACATTTCTGGATCTTATCAACTACTCGAAATAAGATAAATAAATAAATAATAAATTGAGATTAAGATAAGTCATCTGATCAAGCAAAAATATTTACCAATTTCTTCTGAATTTGCAGGAAAGCTGGAATTCCTAAAAGTTTAGCTTTTGTTGGATTTCCGTCTTGTTTTAAACCAGTACAACATAGTCTGAGTTTCAAAAAAGAGATGGAAGTGAAATTCTAAGGTAGTTTTTCTAATGCTTATGTCTTGCTCCTAGGTGTGTTTGCCTTGTACTCTGGACTGAAACCTACTATGATCCGTGCATTCCCAGCCAACGGTGCCCTGTTCCTTGCCTATGAACACAGCCGTAAACTGATGATGAACCAGTTTGATAGCTAGAACTTTTATCACAGACTAACATCATTAGACTCTGTGTAGTCTCCATATCAATTGTCCCACTTTGAGTGACAGATTTTAAAATGTGAAATGAGAGTGAAATGACTGCATTTTTTTAAAAAAATGATTTCAGTAAAAATGCTGTATTTTCTAAACATTGTGTGCTTTGTGGATTTACACATCTGTGATCAGCACTGATACTACATGATCTTATAAGGGATTTTAATTACTCATTTCTATAAAAAATTTAGTCATGGGGTTTTAAAAAAATATATGCTGCAATATCAGTTAACTATTAGCTTGCAACATAGTGACTTTTATAATTTAATATGCCTGGAAGCTGAGCAGGAGGTCCATTGCAGAGTAGTTTTTATAATGTCCCACATTAGTTAATTTGTATGCAATTCTACTTACTGGTTACTTGACTCTACATGAAAGAGCACTGGAAAGCACATTACACATAAATAGACTTCTAAAAAAATCACTTGAAACCCAGTACCCAATATTTCTTTATAATATTCCGTGTTCCCAGAATACAATGCTTTTGTTCTGAAACTGTTGATTAGAGAAACTTGATCCCTCCCCCCATTATTTAATGACATATAATCTACACGTCTAAGCATTTTTTTAAAGTAAAAGGTATTAATATCATCTGCTGTATTTGGCTATAATCATGTTATATTTCTTAGTTGTAGCATATTAGTTATAGTGATGTGGACAACAATTGGCTCAGCTTCTATAACAATGCTTTGGAATGGAGTGTAGTCTGCATTTAGCTCACTGACACTACACCTGGATTCAAATACAGAACAAGCTTTTAGCTGAAACTCAATGCATTTAACAATATCCTTCACAAACATGCATGTTACAGACTCATTTTAGATGTACCAAACATTTTGGAATGCAGTAGTAACAAATTCTGCACTACATGCACTACATGCTAATTTTGGAAATTCAAATTAGTATTAATAATTTATTAAATACTAGATCTATGTTTTTCAAAATTGGCAGCTTTAAGATGTGCAGACATCCACTCCCAGAATTCCCCATCCAGAATACTAGCTGGAGAACACTAGGAGTTGAAGTTCATACCTCTTAAAAGTTGACAAGTATGCAATACACTTCAATAAACTATATAACTGAATACCTAATATTGCTTGACAGGTTGGCATACAGGTGATTAGGACTGACAACATTTCAGAATAAAAATACAGCATATTATTTTTGAATATTATTTGTTAAGCCTATCCTTACATATTACACAAAATCATTACCATACTGTACAATTTCCTGATGCTGATATACCATTTGAACTATGCTTCCAGCTACCAACTTTAATCGAAAATATATTTCATATTATTTATTCTAATGTTGGACATCATAGTTTAAATGAAATCATAAAATTACATAAATCATACATTAAACCTAGGAGAAACATAGGAGGAAAGCATTTCATTCCTTCAAGATATTGTGCTGCAAACTTGAAGGGATAATATATATGAAATGACAAAACATCAATGTGGAACTAATATAAAGCTGCTGAACTGAAATTCATGAACAAATATTACAGTGTAACTAGATCCAACAGGTAGAATTTCTTGCTTGCCAAAGAAAACATGAAAGGTGATGTATAAGGAAAAATGTGGGGAGGTAATCACTTACATGCACTATCTATGGTGAAGGGGCCATCATCATTACATATCATAAACTCCAGCCATTTTAAAACAATGAACTTCTGTGGCAACTTTTCCTAACATGATATTCTCTGTACATCTACCCCTATTGTGCCTGGAAACTGAACTGTGAATTTAAAGCCTTCCCAGTCAATGCAAATTATGAAATTATCTGATCTGACAATGTTTGAGGTTCCCACATGTGGGATAACAAAAATACAACATATCAGAAATTCAGTAAAAGGCCTATGGAATGCAGAGGGGGAGAGAGAGAGAAAAGCAGGTAAAATCTTTTATCTCAAGCCTTGGGACATCATGGCTCATACATAAATCTGATGAATCTGGCTTTGGAAGCCATTACAATATAGTTAAGTCTGATCTCCAGACTCCCAGGCATAAACTGCTGTTGGAAACTGGCCAATAACCAAGTCATTTTTAAAAGATCAGAATAAGATGATGAAGACCTTGTGAACTTGCTACTGAGTTTACTCTTTGAAGACCCTTTGTCTTACACATAATCCAGATGGCAAAATTAATTGTTGTAATCATGATAGCGCACTAGGCCTTAGTTTTATTTTTACATTCAAGATGATTCTGCACACTGAGAAGTAGTCTCAAAATACAGTTCCATATCTGGTGCGAAACCAGGTTACTGAATTATTATGCAATTCCCAGTTAAGTCTGTTTTTGCTTGCTTCAGTCATGGGTCAGTGAAAACTAACTCCACAGCAAAATTATCTCTGAATATCTTCCACGTCTTTGGCTTGTTTAAGTTATCGATTTCATTTCTTGTGAGGAAAAGGCTAGGGAAAAGAGAAAAAAGAACTAGTTCTCTAAATGTAAATAATTTAAGCTTGCACAGAAGAGAACAAAATATTTTTTTTTATAACACTGAATTTTGAAGTAACAGAATATAGCCTCTATTTTTTTCCCTGAAAAATATTCAGCTCTTCAGCAACCCTTTGGTTTCCATTAAGAATGCACATGTCTGTCTCCTGTGCATGGATAGTGCCATTGTGTCTCTGCAATGCTATCATTCAACTCCAAACATTATTCATAGGAAGAATGACAGGTATGTCACATCTAAGAAAGCTGAATTTTCAAGCGCATAAAACTCATACTTTCATGAGTATTGGCACTTGGCAATACTCATTTATGATGATGTCACATAGATGCAATCAATAGATGCAATTGGGAGGGGAAAGTGTATAAATGCCCACAAGTTAAGAAGAGCATAGTTTGGGAAAAATATAATAGCTTGAATGCAAAATAAATTCTAGCCAAGACTAAAATGTATTCCCAAACATTAGCAAACAAGCAATATGAAACATAGTTTAATAGACTAAAGAAAGAGAAATAATACTTGCAACAGAAATTATCCCCTTGCTTAAAAGCATTAAGATGCCACCCTAAAATTTTGGATATCCTACATGGCAAATAAAGTTGTTTATCCGCAGGGACAAACTGAATGGTACCACTTAAGAATTATTTTCAAAAAAAAAAGTTTTGAGTTTTTACTAAATAATCATGTAACTTTTCTTAGAGACTTGGTAAGCTTTATAAATCCATTAAAGGAAAAACAGTAATAGGAACATAGGAACAACTCTCTACATGGTAGAGGCATTTTTTTAAAACTGGCATTCTCTGAAGAGTTGGCAGTTGGCAATATTAAATGGCAGGTCTCCTTTTCTCAACAATCCCCCCAAAATATACAAGCCCATAAAAATAAAGAAATCCCTGTCTCTTTCTATGGAGACTTGAGCTAAGCTTCTGTAACCTAAAGTCTCTTACACCCTGGCTCATAGGTCTAGGTGCATTTTGGCTTTCTTTTCCAGTACATGTGTGCTTTCAAACATCACAACTTACTGATAGTCCTGTATAAAAGCTGTGTGGAACCAAAAAAAGAAAGCACAGCTATCATAGCCTTTTGGAATATCCTACATTAAAAAAAAGATAAGAAATACAGTTAATGCTACTTAGATTAAACATCAAACCATCATCACAGCCAACCCATAGAAAGAATTGAAATCCATAATAAGATGTCTTAAGCTGGCCACTTCTGGTCAATTTACGCAGAGACGTCTAGCAGCTTAAGACTGCAAAACAGAAAAGTCTGAAGTTTTGTTTTTTTTCCAATCCAAATCAACAATTGGTCACTTTGAGGCATGTCTATGTAATTTCCTTAATAAGAATCTGGAAGTGGTTTGCCACTGCTTTTTAGAGTTTTTCAGTCTGGCATTTCCTGATGGACTCCAAAACAGGCCTACCAGGTTAGTTTTTTAAAGTCAGCCAAGTTTGGTAGGTGGATGTAAGGTCAGCAGGATGGTTAAACCATTTAAAGGTTTTGTGACTGAGATGGAATGGAATGACTATTTCAATAGTTACAAATGTGAAAGGTATGTAACAAAGTCACCATTTCTCAACTTACAGAAGTAGCTTCAAATTTGACTTTCACATCATTTCTGATGACAGGACAGTTCTTCAAACCAATTATTAACAGGTCATTTTCACGATCAACGAACAACTGAAATGAAATAGGTATACATCTTATTTTTACTCACTAAATGTTTCTCACAAAATGGAAGTCTGTACTTTATTAGTTTGTTTTCTCATGCACTGAAATCATCACGAAGGAGCTTGGAAGGAGGTTCAGCTCATTATCTGTTAATATTTCAATAAGTCTCTCCATTTGAGAGGACAAGATTTTGTATGTGAGAGACGGACATCCATATGCATGTTGCATTACCCATTCAAAAGGAAAATTTAAGGGTAAGAAGTCATGCCATAAAACTGCCATTTATCTCTTGAACAGATTATAGTTTTATAACTATATAGCCACATGCAACATTAAAGGGTTCTCCACTAGTGCTCTAGGTAATAATTACCTCTACTTTGAATGAAGCTTTTGCTAGTTTGCTTCTCAAAAGTTACTTCTCTCGGGGCATGAGCATTAAAAGTACATTCTTCTCTGATCCTCAGATAGATTAGTGCCATTTCTAGTTAATTTATCACTATTTGTGAGAACTATCTAGCAACTTTTCTGGATGGTAGTCAAATAGCATGCTAGCTATTTTTGTAAAGAACTGCAAAAGGATCTGTTATTCTCACAACACAGCCAAAAGGAATAGCAGAAGCTGCCATATTGCAAGTCAGATTATTAGTGTCTCTAATACCGTATATACTCGAGTATAGGCCGACCCGAATATAAGCCGAGGCACCTAATTTTACCACAAAAAACTGGAAAAGTTATTGACTCGAGTATAAGCCTAGGGTGGGAAATGCAGCAGCTACCGGTAAATTTCAAAAATAAAAATAGATACCAATAATGTTTTTCAAAGCCATTGTAAAAATTTGCTCTGGATAACAAATTATTATCACACAATACCGGTGTATTCAATGAAATACTTCACTCACCTCAT